ATATTTTCTTAACTTTTAAGATTACAAGGCAGTTAAACATGGATATAAAATTTGCGTTTACGTTATATACGTCAGTAATTGTTAGAGTTATGTCCCCTTTAGAAGAAATTCCCAACGATATGTCTATCCAGAGATATGTCAGGACCTCATAAAAGCACCCACTTCACGGTTAAAAAAATGCTTTTCTGCTATAATTTAAAATAGAATTTATTAATATTTGTTTCAAATCAAATTGATTAAAATTTAAATCAGTTAACATTTCTCAAATACAGTTTCAGTTAATAATTTTTTGAAAGATTTTTGTAAAGATAATTATGTTGTGCTGAAAGAATTGTAAATATGGCTAAAATCAGCGAAAACTCATTTCAATCAATTTAAATTCCTTTTGAAACACAGCAACGCATTTTCCATATTAGAAAAATTACATTTAACACATTGAAATTAAAATTAAAATAAACGTTTTAATAGCGATAATTAATTATTAAAAATCCATTCCAAACTTTGAATGGCGACCCCCCCCATATATATATATATATATATATATATATAGATATATAGATAGATAGATAGATAGATAGATAGATAGATAGATAGATAGATAGATAGAAAGAAAGAAAGAAAGAGAGAGGGGAGAAGAAGAGGGGGAGAGAGGGTAAGAGAGAGAGGTGGTGAGAAAATATAATGAATCTAACCATAATTTCGTGATAATATATGCTTGTTTAATTTAAAATGAAAGCAATTTATTAACGCAAGTGTATATAGAAAGTGCATTGATTTCCGAACCTTGCATTCTGTTATTTGGTACCGTAGATAATGCTTGACATATTCGTTAACAATAGCTCACAATGCAATATATAGATTTACGCTTTTTGCATAACGAATTCGCTTAATATTGAAATTGATGAAAACTATTCTAGAATTAACTAGAATTCTTTTTTTTTTATATGAACTGGACGTAAAACTACGGGCAGATCCGAAAGAATAAAAACAAAACGCTTAGATTGAATTGGTCAGACAAATAGCTCATTAATTCTATTTCACGGTCAGGTCGCGTGTTGTTGATAAAGAATCCTGGAAAGATTTAGAAATCAAATGATAACAATGCGAAGATACGAAACAAAAAATAACTTCATTTGGGAAAGGATGGTTAACTGAGATAAGCGAGGTCGGTTGAAGGAGATAAAAAAAGAAATCAAATATTTTTTTCTCTGTTGAAAATGTAACAGAAATGGACCACAACAAGAGAAAAAAAAACTGAATAAAAAATTCAGTTTGAAATAAAACAACAACAAAAAAATGGCATCTAATTGACGGAAGGACATGCATGATGAGTGAATATACAGTTGGCGAATAGAACTGTCTAAAACACTGTTGACCGACTTGGAAAATAGTTTTGATCATAAATCTTGCCAGTAGGAACAACTTCAGTTGACACAGGCCGAAACGAAATCATTTATCACGGTTTAACTCTGTGACATTCGGAATAATGATAATAGAAGCGATCAAGATAAGAATGAAAAAAAAAAAAAAAAACTTCAAATGTTTTTTTATTCATTTTCTTTAAGTGTTTTCTGACTTTTCAGCACTTTCCAATTGCGTTCTTTCCTGATATTGGAACGGTCCTTGCTTTCCTGAGTCGATTTTCATTATGTGAGTTCTTTATTTACTTGTGTTATTCGAATCTATGCATCCCAAAATATATCTCGGTCTATCAATCTTTATGATTATCTATCTATCTATCTATCTATCTATCTATCTATCTATCTATCTATCTATCTATCTATCTATCTATCTATCTATCTATATCTATCTATCTATCGCAGTCTTTCCTATCCATCTATCTATCTATCTATCTATCCATATCTATCTATCTATCTATCTATCTATCTTATCCTATCTATCTATCATCTATCTATCATCCATCTATCCATCCTATCTATCTATCTATCTATCTATCATCTATCTATCTATCTATCTATCTATCCATATCTATCTATCGCAGTCTTCCCCCCTCCATCCATCTATCCATCCATCTATCTATCTATCTATCCATCCATCTATCGCAGTCTTTCTATCTATCTATCTATCTATCTATCTATCTATCTATCTATCCATCTTTTTATCTATCTATCTATCTATCTAAAGTCTTTCCCTATCTATCTATCTATCTATCTATCTATCCATCTATCTATCTATATCTATCTATCGCAGTCTTTTCCCCATCTATCTATCTATCTATCTATCTATCCATCTATCTATCTATCTATCGCAGTCTTTTCTATCTATCTATCTATCTATCTATCTATCTATCTATCTATCTTTCCCCATCTATCTATCATCCATCATGGTCGATCAATAGATATCTATCGCAGTGAATCCATCTTGGACATCCAGTATCAACACATCTATTTGTGATTATCTATCATCTATATCGAGTCTAAACAGTATCCATCCATCCATCCATCCATCCAGACCTTCCCCATCCATCCATCCATCCATCCACGCTTATCCATGTATGGTATCATCCATCCGGGTTCCATTATCATGTAGTGGATACCATCCATCTATCCATGATGATCCAATCTATCCAGTCTTTTCCCCATCTGTCCATGAAGATTCTTTTCCATGAATTATCTATATCCATCTATTATTCAAAGTCTTTTCCCCATCCATCTATCCATCTATATACATTTTAAGCAGTCTTTTTAAAAATATTTATATCTATTTCTCATTTATAGATACAATATCTATCTAAATGCAGTCTTTTCCCCATTATCTATCTATCTAAACATTATTTATCGATCATTTATCTATAAACAGTTTTAATGAAAATATCCGGCCTGAATCATCTATCTACTATCCATCTATTTTCATAGAAGATATTTCCCTATCCATTCATCTATCTATCTATCTGAAACATCTATCTATCTATCGCAGTACGGAACATCATCTATCTATCTATCTATCTATCTATCTATCTATCTATCTATCTATCTATCATGGATGTCTTTTCCCCATTCATCTATCTAAAATCAATCTATTATCTATGTTTTAAGTCTTACAATTTTAATGATTATCTATCTATCGATCTATCTATCTATCTATCTATCGCTCTTTTCCCGTATCTATCTAATGTATTCATCTAAATCTATCTATCTATCTATCTATTATCGAAGTCTTGAACAAATCTATCTATCTATCTATCTATTTAAGATCTATTTTATCTATCACTCTGGTCGATCAATAGATACGTTGAATTTTGGATTTATCAACACAGAATTTGTGATTAGCGGCACTATATCGAGTCTAAACAGTTACTTCTTCGGAGTGAGGTTCGTTTCCAGTTGTAGGACGAATATTTTGGTAACGGTCCGGGTTCCATTTCTCTGATGAGTCCCAAATGGTCCACTGCATTCTGTTGAAGATTCTTTTCGCTGAATTACTATAATGCTTATTCAAATTTCCCAAATTCTATCGCTTATATATACATTTTAAGATACTTTTTAAAAATATTTATACGTTCTCTTTATAGATACAATATCTAAGTAAATGCACTGTTTATAATAAACATTATTAACGACATTTATAATAAACAGTATTAATGAAAATAACCGGCCTGAATGTCCGAGAAATTTTCATAGAAGATATATGTCTTCCGACAGGAATTGAAACTGTATATATACGGAACAGTCATATTTGACGTTTTACCGATTATATGGATATGAATTTTATAGCAAAATCAATTTTACTGTTTTAAAAAACAATTTTTTAATGATTTTTCTCGTACATTCATATCTGCTCGATGCGTATCCAAATGTAGACAAACGTCACATTATGAAATGAACAAAATTAAAATTTTAAGATATTTTATGCCGCAAACGTTTTTTATTTATAGATACAAATATTTAAGTAAATTTGTTTATAAAAAAGTATAGGATACAGGTTCGATTTTTCGGAGGACGAATTTTACTACGAGTTTTTGGACATTCTGCCGGTGAATGTTGTTTCTGTTCATTATAAACAAGCATTTAGTTTCCATTTGTATCTATAAAAAGAAAATATTAAAAAAATGTCTTAAATAATTTTTGTCTTGTCCATTTCATATATGTGACATATATATATATATCGATTTAGTACACATTATATATATTTTATATATATATATATATATATATATATATATATATATATATATATATAAAAGAAAGAGTTCTAGTGGTTCCAACGAGAGAAAAGTATGTAAAACAAAGAGAAGAGAGGTGCAGCGAAACGTTTTTGGTTGTTATGTGGCATTTATTTAGAAAAAAATGTGTGTTTGTTTGTAATTTGTGTGTGAGTTTCTGGTCTGTGTGTGTCTTCATGTAAAAGTGGAGATTTCCACATATTATTAAAAAATAATTAATTTTTCCTTATGTTCTATGTTAAATATTCTCGATATGAGACATTCTCTGTTTTTGTGTTAGTAATCCGTATTTCTTTCACCGTGAATGAAGAGTTCTGCGCGAAGTGTCATAAAACAATTAAGGTTGGTCCAGTGAAATGATGAATTAGTTATCGGCATTTATTTTATTGTGTGTGTGTGTGTGTGTGTGTGTGTGTGTGTTTTGCGAAAATATAAATCACTCTGATTGAGCGTGGACTTTGTCTCCTCTGGACGTATTACAAGCGCCTGCAGGTCATCATCTGAAAATTGTGTAACTGAAAATTACAAGTTTCATTTACACAAACTATCATATTACACCGCTTGTGTTTTTTTCAATTTCAGCTGAATTTTTTATAGTCGCTATTTAATGATGTACTCGGACTTCGAAGCAAACACTTCTCTTTCTGCTGTCACAGTTATGTGATAAAAAATATCTATCTATCTATCTATCTATCTATCTATCTATCTATCTATCTATCTATCTATCTCGGTATGTTCATCATTATCTATCTATCTATCTATCTATCTATCTATCTATCTATCTATCTATCTATCTATCTATCTCCGGCTGTTCCTTATCTATCTATCTATCTATCTATCTATCTATCTATCTATCTATCAATCTATCTATCTATCTATCTATCTATCTATCTATCTATCTATCTCAGTCTTTTCATTATCTCTCTCTCTCTCTGTATATATATATATATATATATATATATACAAGTATATACTTGTTCCATACGGAATGAATTCCAATAACCAACAATTACTATTCTTAAAAGAGTGCTTAATACAGGGTAGAGCAGATATAATTATTTATTTAAAAAAATTATAACATAAATATGTTATAAAATCACTACACAAATAGCCATTTTGTTTCAACACCTCCAGCGTCTTATCAAATTATTATTTTACATTCAACATCATCATTTGATAAGACACCGAAGGTGTTGAAACAAAATGGCTATTTTTGTAGTGATTTTATAACATTTACGTTATAATTTTTAAAATAAATAATTATATATATATATATATATATATATATATATATATATATATATATATATATATATAGATAGATAGATAGATATATATATATATATATATATATATATATATATATATATATATATATATATATATATATATATATCTTCTTGGGTGACCGCTCATAAACAGGAAGTGATATCAGCTTGGATGTGCAATGTTCATATACCGTAAGGAATAACGCCTATGAATGAATAATCGGAGAACCGTGTTCGAATTCCAGTCGATTTTGTTACATTCCATTAAGTACATATACGCCCAATGATGTTACGTCGAACCCTACGTAAGTGGATTGGGGAAGCACGTTATGGTAATTGAACATTTCTGAACATGATGTTTGGAATAATAATATTACGTTAACTGGCTAAGAAGTAATAACTAAATTCTTTGCGAATTTCAAAAATTATGGAAAGATAAATCGTAGAGTAAATGACCATGGTTAAAAGTTATCGGCAGAAATGCCCAACAAAAAAGAACTGAAAATATTTCCAAAAAATGAAAGCAAGAGAAAGAAAAGAACAGGGCAAAAATAATACTAAGCAAACAATATATGCAAGACAGTAATAAGGAAAGGCAACCGTAATAATTGGCCAACATTATTATTTTCGCGTTACAAAACATGGGCTCACTTTTGGACCGTCGTGTAAACCAAATCGATGTCTACCTTTTTTTATTCATGTCTTAACCAAATAGACACCCCACCCTATGAGACGTTCTGGATATGTCGATAAACTATATCCGTATCCTGGGTATGACGATAAATAACATCCGGCAGCAAGGCCTCTGATCAGGTTTTGAGGAGCGTGAAAAAACTGGTTTGCTGGTGTTCCCAGGTCCACCATGACACGGGGTGGTAGCACCTGATAGGGTCATAGCAATGGACAAATAGTTACCCCCACCAAACTGGAGTCAAAACATTATGAAAGCGTAAAATATTTTAATACCAGCAATAAATAATATTTTGGCAAAAAATATTACCGGCAATACATTTTTGAAAGAACAAAAAAATAAAACAATGTAGACATACAGACATATTTACACGAGGATCCAAGAGTTCACCCATGTCTAATTAGCACGAGAATAAAACCGGTTGATCAATTATTCATGTGTTAACCAAATCTTTCTCTGCCTATTTGAATCTCATGTCTACCATTGTTAAAACTTGTATAAAGCAAACCTTTATCTCCCTTTTGGAGTTATGTAAAAACTATGCCTACTTATTTGACTACTTATTTGATGATTTGGTTTGGTTTGTTTTGATTTACGGTATATCAATCTCACTCGGTTATTTAATGCCGACAAAATTTTTATTGCTCAAAATATTTTTGTTTTTTCAAAAAATTATTGCTGGTAATATTTTTTCTAGAATTTTATTGCTGGTATTAAAACCTATTTTTAAACTTTCATAATGATTTAACCCCATTTTGGGGGTTACCTATTTGCTCACAGCTGGGACCCCTAACAGGTGCTACCACCCCGGGTCATGGTGGGCCTGGGAACACCAGCAATTAAGAGGTGATTCCATTTGTGGGGTGGGGGGTCAACTATTTTCCCATAGCTGGGACCCCTAACAGGTGCTACCACCCCGGGTCATGGTGGGCCTGGGAACGCCAGCAATTAAGAGGTGGGGAACGCCAGCAATTAAGAGGTGATTTTCCCATAGCTGGGTGGGGTGCTACCACCTCCGGGTTTTGGGGAACACCCAATTAAGAGGTGATTCCATTTGTGGGTGGGACCCATAGCTGGGACTAAGGTGCTACCACCCTGGGTCGGGTCATGGTGGGGGCCTAGCTGGGAAGGTGCTACCACCTCGGGTCAATTAAGAGGTGATTCCATTTGTGGGGTGGTCAACTATTTTCCCATAGCTGGGACCCCTAACGGTGCTACCACCCCGGGTCATGGTGGGCCTGGTAACACCAGCAATTAAGAGGTGATTCCATACTCCTCAAAACCTCCTGATCAGAGGCTTTGCTGTCGGATGTAGTTTATTGTCATACGCAGGACACGGATGTAGTTTATCATCATACCCAAGACGTCTCATTGGGCGGGGACGATGTCTTACCCATCTGCAGCTGTGCAGTCGGCGTATTCTGAAGCACCTGCCGACAGGGCAGCTACCTTTTTGACTTTCGTTCAAACCAATATTGTTTATGAAAATAATCGTATACGCCATTAAACCAAAATTTTAAGCCTTCTATGTGGTGTTCGTCCACATCGGCTGCGTTATCTCGTCGCAAAAATTTAATTTCTTTGGTAATCGCTTCCTTTATTATGATAGCGTTGGTGACCAAGTTGTCAAATTTTATGATCGATGAGCCGATAGCATTGGCTGCATTGTAATGCTGCTGGGTGGCGAGGTCGATTTTTTGGAGTTTTTCTCTCTTGTCCTTTGACTTCTCCCTTTTCTCTTCTGCTAGCTTGGAAGTTGTTCGTCCCAATGTTGAGCTTGTGTTTCAAAGGATTTAAGTTCAAGTCAAGTGGTTTTCTGTGTTTTTTTGAGTTGTTCCATTTACTTTCGAAGAGGAAAACTTTTCTCTGAACAACCTTTGCCAAATAAATATACTATTTAGATAAGAACTAAAATTCTATATGCAAGACGCCATTTTGGATATATCACTTGTAAAACGAACTCATAGCATAAGTGCTTATTTGCCAAACTATGTATTCTTTTTGTGAAAAAAATGTCCATATGTTTCATGCTTATTCATTACCATTCAACATGCTTTAATTTTCATTACGATCTACGAGGCAAATAGGTTTTCTAATTTTAAAAATAATTAGTTTCACAGATGTTCATTTTTGAACATTAATATTACTTGAATACCTTTTGAAATAGGCGAACGCATTAAGTAGAAGCCAAATGAATGGCGGGAATGTTTTTCTGAAGTGGTAGCAGGATTTCGTGTCTAGCCTGACGACATAAAAATTGTAGAGGTTTCAGAATTAAACACACAATCATGTTCACACACACATACACACGGATGCGTAATACATACCCTCAACAAAATCTCTTTCGCATACAGATGAAAATTTATTAATCTCTCGTGCATATGACACGGATATGTGTTAATACATGTACGGGAAGTGGTTTAGATTTTATTTTATATCGAATTAAATATGGAAAACATTAAAAAAAATTCGTATCTATAAAGTTACCTTTATTGAATAACGGATAAGTAATTCAATAAATAAATACGTAGTTTCATTTTTTTTAAAAATCAAGGATTTATTTTCTAATACAAATATTCAAATCCTTTTAAATGCATTTATGTCCATGGCAGATAAGTAGGTACATCAAAAAGTTTAATGCTAAGAAAAATGCATTTATTTTTCTACAGAAATATTTTTTTTTGTACTTGTGTTGGGTAGATTTAAATGCAATATCAATCCCTATCTACTGTCCTCCTATATATATATATATATATATATATATATATATATATATATATATATATATATATATATATCAGTTCATCCCATAATTTCTGTCCGAATTTTAACTTTTTATTAAAATGAACGAAATTTAAAGAGTATTTTATAATGTCTACTGGAGCTGACAATATTTTTATGTTTAGATTGTTATGATGTTGCTTTGGGTTTAGTAGAGACAAACGCCAAATAACACGTAACAATAAAAAAGGGTTTTAATAGGTTGGTAAAAAAAGTACAGAAATCGCCTGAGTAGTCAATAACTAGCGCAGCTAAGAACTTCTCGGTCTATCTGTCTCTCCCCATGTCAACTGACATGCCACTGTTTAAAGTTTAAAGTCTTTGTTCACAGACAAGTTTATCTTCAAGAGGGGTGGTAGGTTTCCGACACAACATAGATGCATTTAAACTGATCAAATTTTATTTCAGAAAACATTAAAATTAAATTTTGTTTGATTAAAACCCTGCTAACATGGAAGTACCTAAGAATCATTTGAGGTAGATAATGCTTTATGTGTTCAAGAAAGGAAGCAGCTAGAAACATTCACTCAGTTTGTGGAGAGGAATGTGTGAATGAAAGAACTTGCAGAAGATGGTTCGGAAAATTCAGAGGTGGAGATTTCATCCTTGAAGATTGTTAAGGCGTCCACCCCTTTGTATACAAGTGGACTCACCCAGTGTGTACTTGTTCTGCTGCCAGTGAATACCCGGGTAGGATACGGAGTGGAAGTGACAGTGATACAGTGAAAGAGTAAGAGAGTGAGGTATCCGCTTTGTAGGAGTCACAGTTGCGAGCACGTAGACTCAGAAGGAAGTTCTACTTCGATACTGGATTTCCCAGACTATATATATATTATTATTGCTACTAACCGCATTTCTGGATCTACTAACTGTATTACCAATTGTATTATTACGTCAATACATTTATTTGCTATATTTCATTCCTGCGTTTGTCATTCATTTGAGACCGGATTTCATCCCGGAATCCACAACAAAGATGAAGATCAAACCGGACGTCCAGTTGAGTTTGATGAAAAGCATCTTGAAGCAGCCCTTGAAGAAAATCCTGCTTTATCAGTTGAGGAATTGGCAGTGGTTCAAACCATACAACTGTTCATCGTCATCTTCAACAACTTGGAAAAGTTACTAAACTTGGAAAATGGGTGCGACTGGCGACGAAAAATGGATCTTTCATTGAAATGTTAAGCGTCGTAGACAGTGGCTTGGTAAAGGGGAAGGACCCCAGCCACAGCCGAGAAGGGAACTTCATGGGCAAAAGGTTCTTCTTTCAATCTGGTGGGTTCGCCAAGGAATAATCCACTTTGAATTCTTACCACCTAATGCAACAATTAATGCTCAAATATACTGTCAGCAATTAGAGCGTTTGAACCAAGCTTTGAGGAAAAAAAACCTGCTCTAGTGAATCGAAAAGGGGTAATGTTTCATCAGGACAATGCGCGGCCCCACACAGCAAGAATCACGTCGCAAAAGATCGAAGAACTTGGTTGGGAGAAAATTCCTCATCCACCTTATTCTCCCGATCTTGCTCTTTCAGACTACTATTTGTCTCGTAGCTTACAGAATCATTTGGAAGAAACAGATTTTGTAACACAGGAAGAGGTTAAAACTGACATTTGTGAGTTCTTCGAATCAAAGCCAAAAGAATTTTACAGTAATGGAATTAGTAAGCTTGTAAATAGATGGAAGGAAGTCATAGATAATCAGGGAAAATACATTGTTGATTGAATCTGTAATTAAATGTAACATTTGGACATTTGTTTTCTTTATTCAAAATTCGGACAAAACTTATTGTATGACCTGATATATAAAAACGAAATACATTTTTTTGAAAAAAATTTGAGTAATGTATCTATAAACAAAATGTGTATTTTTTGTTGTTGTCCTGACGACATGCATTTAACGGATATCAGAATTCGTTAAATAATAAACTCCTACCCTCCCTAAACTTGACCTCTTTTCGAACGTAACTCATAATTGATACATAAATAGTTAATAAAAATGAAGACATTACAGCCCCTGTCTGAATGATTGGATTTCTCTGTATCCTGGGAAACCGTAAATTAAGAATTTATATGTGGATTTAAAACATTAAATTTAAAAATAAGTTATTCAATATTCGCTTGAAGATGAAATGGAACTAATGTTTTAATTTAATTATATAATTAAATTTAAAGTTTTTAGTTTCCATTTTTGAAACCTGGTTATTACTGTGTGTAAAAAAAACATATTTTAGTTAATTTATAATATATATATATATATATATATATATATATATATATATATATATATATATATAGAGAGAGAGAGAGAGAGAGAGCTCTGGTCAAAACGTATCGGTACTGGAGCTATAAAAAGAAAAACACAAATCAATTCGCCATTTCATTTCCTTTTGAAGAAAAAGAATTGATTTGTGTTTTTCTTTCTATAGCTGCACACAATATGGCTGCACACAATATCTAGTTTTGTTTCTATTGATAGAAATATTTCTGGAACTGTTTTCGGAATGATAGCGACCATCTGTCCTCTCACATTTTCTTGGATTTCCTCGATGTCTCGAAATCTTGTTCCGTTCAAGTGGGATTTGATTTTTGAAGAGGAAAAAATTGCAAAGAAAATATAAGGATTGTCGGGCCTAAGAAATGTTGTATTTTTCCAAAACCTACTGCCAATAGAACCTCTGTGGCGTGCTGAGAAGGCCAAACTCGACACACTTTCCTTCCAAGCACTTCATTTCCTAAGTAAGTAGGCGAGAACATTATAACTTAATATGTATGCACAACAGATTTAAAGATCAACGTATGAAGAAGATTCGCTTTAGGACTGTTATTATAGTGGACGCTAGCTCCGTTACCATAGCAAATCTCAATACTTTTTAAATCAAAACTTGTATACACAGAGTGAAAAGAAATGTGCACAATTTTAATTATTTTTAAATTGACCAATCAGATAATGACACGTTATTTATTTGTAATACATTGAAAGTCGCTCATATTTCCCAAGTACAGCAAGAAATGGAAAGTATTTATGAATTAAAAGTGATTTTCACTCTTACAGTGCCTCATTTGACTGTGTTACACGGAAAAAAAAATATTCATGAATATTATAGGATTATGCTAAAAATAAGCAGACATAATTTTGTAATTTATTTAATCTGACATGCCTAAAAGATAATTTTATGCTTAAATACACAAATATGACATGACGTGTTGTGAACAAAACTAATCAGACGGTGAGTATCTGCTTATGTGTCTATCTGCTTAGGAATCGCTAGTACTTAGAGTGGTCCTTGATTCATGGAGTTCTTGAGAAAAGTGTTATATATATCTTAGGACGTGATTTAAAGGTCCGTATTGATAGGGGTCATTCAAGAAGTCCTGACTAAAGGGATACATGAATAGAGGTGTCCGTGAAAAGGGGTACATGTCTATATATAGCTACTTGACTATAGGTATATGACATGACAATAGGTAACGTGATTCAAGGAGTCTGTGAAAGAGTCCATGATATAAGTGTCCGTGATTTAAAGAGTCCGTATCTAAAGGGGTCTATAGGGGTCCACTATTCAAGAAGTCCCTGACTAAAGGGATACATGAATAGAGGTGTCCGTGACTAAAGGGGTACATGTCTATAAGGGTCCATAGCTACATGACTATAGGTATATGACATGACAATAGGTAACCGTGATTCAAGGAGTCTGTGACTAAAGGAGTACATGACTATAAGTGTCCGTGATTCAAGGAGTCCATGACTAATGGATTACATGACTATAGCTATCTGTGATTCAAGAAGTACATGACTGTAAGTGTCCGTGATTCAAGGAATCCGGGACTAATGGTGTACATGACTATAGGTGTCCGTGATTCAAAGAGTCCTTAACTAAAGAGGTATATGACTATGGAGGTCCGTGTTTTAAGGAGTCCGTGATTAATGAGGTACACGACTATAGGTCTCCTAGATTCAAGGAGTCCAATAAGTAATAAGATCTCATCAAGTAACTTCTTCTCTGTAACGTAGTTTGTGGGACAAACTCCCAAAGGGATGCTTCCCTGAAAATTACAATCGTGTTCTCTTCAACTACAGGGTCACCTTTTTAATCTGTCCTTTACAACCAGCAGGCTCAGTAGGACTCTACCACGAGTGGCTCTCGTGCCTTTATTGGATAGACTTTTTGACTATTGGGCATTTATTTCTGGATTTTCTAACCTATGCCCCCCTGACCCAAATGGACCGTGGCAAATTTCAGGTGCGCCACAAAAAATTTATATTTGGATATATTCTATGTAAAATAGAAGCATTTTTTTTAACACTATAATCATTTCTAGGTTTAAAGTGAGCCATGAACTAAAAAAGGTTGGGAACTCTGCTTTTTAACCCGTAGCTAGTGAGAGAAAAAAATATATTCATATCTTTCCAAAGAGTATTTTTATGAAAGCGAACTTATCGAATCCAAGCGGAAATCGAACTCTGTGCATCGAGTTCACTTATCGAACCTTAAACCTTTCAGCCTCATTTTCATTGTAATTTTTGTATTTTTTAAAATTAAAATTTAATTAAATTTTTAAACATTTTTCTCTGCAGTTCTTGTTATTTTTCATTCTTTTTTCTTTTAAACTTATATGTAATTCCATATTTATCCTAAATTGCTATCGCACTTTTTTCTTAGCCTTGAACCTAACATAATAAATAACACTTCATTTCCTTTTATTTCCACCTAGAGCAATAGGGTGAAGTCATCAATAAACTTTAACCCATTTTTAGCACCAGATGTGATATATTCAAGTCATTTCAAAAAATACTTATTCAAAAGTGAACGAATCGAACTCTGTTAAAATTCGAACTCAGTTCGTCTATTTCACTTTCGAAAACGCTACGCTAACGGTTCATCTTCTCTTGCAGTGATTTATATATATTTTTAAATTAAATTTCCCTCGTCTGTTTTGATAATTGCTCATACCTTTTTCTTCTTTTAATTATATTTTATAATTCCATACTTATCCGAAATTAGACTGTGTATCGCTCTTTTTTTATTAGCCTTAAGCCAGACTTCAGTTAACTTGATAAATATAACCTCATTTCCTTTGATTACCCATTCCTCATCTCACTATTATTGGATGCTTGTGTTTTTCGATAATCGATCCTTTCGTTTCTACCTGCGCACCTGACCTTGAACATTATTCCTCCCATCTCTAGGAGACTAATTTGATTTTCCCTTTCCAAATTGCCCTCTTCATTCGATAATTCGAACCTTTATCCTTAATCCAATCGTTAATCCTTTATCTTGATTATATTTCCCTATTTAATCATCACTAATTCCGTTAATTCCGTACGCCTATTGACTGCCTTTAGTTTCTTCTTTTACGGAACGCCTCCCTTCAGGAAACAGACGATCACTGCTCTCCACAACTTCCTATATCGTGTGAATTTTAACAGTTCAATTCTATTGCTATCCATTTGCTCGTCAGGTAAGTGGTTTTCTGCCTTCCCCTATCATTATACCGAGTGAGGCTTACGTTTTCCAAGTTCTCTTTTTTATGTCCCAGGAATTTCAGCTGTCTTTTTTTGAGTATAAGTGGTCTTCATGTTGCCATTTTCTTTAAGACGTCTTTTTTTTTTACTCATTCCGTCCAGAGAATTTTCATGAAACTTCAACAGAACCGAATTTCTACTACTTCCAATTTTATACACATCTGTTAGGAGATTGTCTAGCATTCACTGCCTTATAAGCGTATAGATATCACATAGAAGCCTGGCAATATATTCTTTGTTTCTAACAATATTTTTCTGTTTTTCAGGACTATGATTGAGCATAGAGAATGACTTCAGCATATATACAAAAATAGAAAGAGTCGTACGGCAAGGATGTTTCTTCTCACCGGACTTATTCAACCTATAGAGCGAGGCGATTTTGAGAGAATTGGAAAATCTACCGGAATTCATTATTGGCGGACACAGTCTTAACAGCATAGGATACGCAGATGACACTATGCTGATAGCAAATACGGAAAAGAAACTACAAAACCTTCTACAGAAGGTAGCGAAGGAGAACGAGAAGAAGGGACTAAGCATAAACTGCAAGAAGACAGAATGCATGGTCATCAGTAAAAGGATGAGCCTTAAATGAGATTTACAGCTGGACTCTAAAATCAAGCAGGCGAGGAAATTTAAATATCTCGGAAGTGTTCTGACAAAGAACGGTAAATGTGAGGTTCAGATCCGAAGACATCTTGCGATGGCCAAAGACGCATTCTAGGCAGAGTATTACGAAACAGGAGGATTTCTTTGGTAACAAAGTAAAGAGTACTGAGCTGCTACGTGACATCTGCCCTCCTTTACGGGTGCGAATTTTGGACGGTCTCCTCAAAGACGAAGAAGAGACTCGAGGCAATGGAGGTATGGTTCTACAGAAGGATGATAAGGATATCATAGACCGAGCGTGTGAGCAGCGATGAGGTTTTAGAGAATATGCAAACAAGGAGGAAGCTTATCAGGAAGCAGCAGCTGAAATTTCTGGGACACGTAGTGAGAAAAAAGAGCTTGGAGAATCTGATACTCACAAGTTTAATTGCGGGAAAGAGGGACAAGCGAAAACAACGCGTGACGTACCTAGCGGGCTTAAGCAAGTGGATGACAGAATATGGCCTGGGGGAAGTAGCAAAGAGACAAAACTTATTGAGAGCTAGAAGGGAGAGTAGGAAGTGGAGAGCCATGATCGTCTACGTCCTGAAGGGACACGGCACATAAAAAGATTAGCATTTAGAATGACTTTTTCTTAAGTCTAATATATGTTCATATTTCAGTGTCATATTTTCCATCCTCTGATAAAACGCTTCCCAGATATTCAAATATCTGCACTTGATTGATGTTTATATCTACAATTCGTAACTCGCATCTGGAATCTTTTTATAGCTGTCTTCTTTCAGTTGATAGTTAGTCCTTTTTTCTTGCTTTCTTCTACCAGCCTGTCCAGGAGATCCTGTTTTTTTTCCATTCCGAGTCGGCCATCAACACAGTGTCATCTGCGTATTTCATATTAAGATTACGCACAACGGTAATAAATCCTGGTAGGGTCTCCAAGTCCTTTAGGATAGCGTCGCTTTAGAGGTTAAATAAATCTGGAGAGAAGTCTCGTCTGTGTCTCAAGCTCCTTTCTGTTTTTGTAGAGTTACTCAATTCATTTTGTAACCGTATGAAGGCTCTTTGATAAAATATAAATTTAATACAATATAAGAAATTTCTGCTTCATTAAACATTCATGAAGAGAGAAGGACTTGATTTCGATATACCACGTTTTTTAAATCTCACTTTGACTAATATCACGAACATCAGCAACAGAGGAGATTTATTTTGTCTTATATTTACCAAGTTCAGTTTAGTACTGTCTTATAAAAAAATATCAAGACTTGTTCTATAAAAAAAAAAAACTACAACATATATCAATTCGGCATTTAATCTCCTTCGAAGTAATTCCCTTCTGAAACTGCACAATTTTTCCATTGATGGAAAGATTATTGGAATTCCTTTTTTGGGCGGATAGCAAGCAACTGTCTTGCATCTTCTCTTAGACTACTTTGACTTTTTGAAATCCTGTTTCTTCCAAAAGGGATTTGATTTTTGCAAAGAAAAATTCGCAAACGACGAGATCTGGGGGGAAATGGCGGTTGACGGACCCTAGGGAATGTTGTTCTTGGAAATCTCTATGGTGTGGTGAGATGACCACACTCTGAGCACTTTTCTTCCAATCAATGCTATAAACACAGAAAGGTAGCGAGAACATCATAAATTGGGATGCCGATCATAATTCCAAACCTTAAAATCCCGAATGTTGAAATCCTGAAATTTAAAATCCCGAAATTTGAAATCTCGAATTTATAATCTTCCGAATGATCAGAATCCCGAAATTTAAAATACTGAACGATCAGAATCCCGAAAAATAGTCTTTGGGAGAAACCGGAATACCTTTATTTTTAAACATTTACAAAATAGCGTTTAAGTTGTGCTCATACATTTGAAACATTCAAAATTCATTAGAAATATAAAACCAGAATATGGCATAGGCGATGAGAAAATTTAGTAGGCAATACTCATCTATGTGATTATCGTATTATTGGAGAGTTTCAAAGAGAACAGCATCAAGTAGAAAACGAACGTGAATGAATTCTACGAGGAGAGACTTGTGAAAAAAAAAGTTTCTTCTATTTTGGTTAATGGCTTAAAAATATACTTAACGATCGTGAAAACCGACCAGATTTTATAGACTATCTTAGGAATTCTTGCTCGTAATATTTCATTATGAATTATTCTTGTTTTATTTTTTTTTAATGAATTTTGAATGTTTTAAATATATAAACATTGTTTAAATGGTATTTTTAAATGTTTAGAAATAAAGGTATTACGATTTTTTTTCAATTTCTTGGTTTGGTTTGGTTTGTTTTATTTTAGGGCATATCAACCTCAATGGGTTATTTAATGCCGACAAGATTTTTATTGCTGGTAATATTTTTTTCAAAAATATATTACTGCTGATTTTTTTTTTCCAAGAATCTATTGCTGGTAATATATTTTCTTCAAAAATATATTTTTCTTCAAAAATATATTGCTGGCAATATTTTTTCCCTTCAAAAATGTATTGCTGCTAATAATTTTTTACAAACATATATTGCTGGTACTAAAACCTATTTTTTTCCATTTCATGTTTTGACCACACTTTTGGGGTCAACTATTTGTTCATAGCTGGGACCCTAACAGGTGCTACCACCCCGGGTCAGGGTGAACCTGGGAACACCAGCAATTAAAGCGTAGTTCCACGCACCTCAAAACCTCCTGATCGGAAGCCTTGCTGTCGGATTTAGTTTATCGTCATACCCAGAACGTTTTTACAATTTCTTCCAAAGATTATTTTTCGGGATTCTAACATTTCGGGATTTTAAATTTCAGGATTTCGATTTTAAAATTCGCTATAGTGTTCAAGGTCAATCTATGCTTCAGCTCCGTCCTTATGACATCTGTCCCGATATTTTTGATTAGACGTTTTATATGATCGCAGTACCACTGACTGCAAGTCATCGTATTTTTTTTCTTTATCCTCTTAGCTTGAGGACATGATCATGCTGTATCATGAATTGCTGTTACGTCATTTCAAACATTGACGGCTATTAACGCAAAATGTACAACAATAAATTTTATCTGCAGTTGAAAGTATACAGTTGCATTTAAAATATATTTACACTCTTGTGCAAATTAATTGAAACAACCGCTTTAGTTTCCTTTCTTTCACTATACGGTCACTATAAGGTCAGTTTTAGACCCACTGGTGTGACAGGCTGAAATCAAATTTTTATGCAGATTAGGTCATTTGCAGTGGAATGCAGTAATATGAATCTATTTTCGGGGGTAAGATGAAAATATTTCGTCATCCGTGATCGCAACAGATTTTCATCACACCCAGACACTATTGTCTCGACTATCGATTAGTTGTCCTACGGTCATCGATTACGATGGACTTACTCCAAGGAATTGTACAAACATTATAACGCTATAGGAACACACTGGCAAGCCTTACCAGTGAGCAAATCAGTGTACTATAGACTTCTCCTGGAAATTCTCCTGATTT